CTGGGCATCTTCCAGCACGTCTGCCTCGAAGCCCGGGATGACCCACTGCATGTCCTGCAGCGCAAGCTGGTCACAACTGTATGTTTTCGGGCTGCTGGCGGAGTGATTTGTAGCAAACCTGTCTTGGCTTTGCTGCCGCCGTGAAGGGAACTGCCCAGGTTACTTGGGTTGAAGTTGACCGCTGAAAGTGTATGTGGGCGTTCCTGTGTGCTCTGCAATGGATCGCTGCGTAGCTACGTCGAGGTGGGTGATGAACCTGAAGCTGAGAACTACCCATGCAGCCCGAGGAGGCTGGGGCATCTGTTTCATGTTTTAGGGCCTCGGGCCGCGGGCCATACAATGTAGGTTCTCGGAAAACTAGGCAGCTCTGTCTTCAGCGCAGCTCTGCGGTCCAGTGGCTGGTTCAGGCAGTCCAAACGTGAAAAAACTAGACATCGAGGCTCCTAGTACGGCATGCGCGCGTACACGTTGGGAAACAAGCGTCGCCCGCTCATCTTGCTACTGAACACACCCACACTGTATCATCCATGTGTCCTCGATGTGCCTCAGCTTCTCGTTCTCCAACCTCGAGCTGCACCAGCCATACCAACATTTACTGAAACCAGCCTTGCAAACGAAAGATTTCAGTGTCAAGATATCTGCTGCGCAAGGGTGCCGAACCACTAAAAGCTGAACACGTTGTAGCTTGTTTAAGTTTGCCACGCTGGGACTAAGCAAGCAATCTGTTGCGCGCAAAGCACTCAGCGCTTAGAATCCGGCTTCTTGCGCTCCTCGTTCTCCCGCGCGCTTTGCATGAAGCGAAGACCCTGAAAACAGGCGCGGCGCGCGCGTCATGGACACCATTTAGCAAGCGCTACGCATTGTTGCGCTGCGCGTGACACATCGACCGCCTTATAGCTGGTTGCGTTGCAAAGGGTGGCAGTTCAATGTGAACCACATGCCCCAAACCGAGTTCCATGCATTCGTGACGCGCGCCTGGATGTTGGAGGAGAGGATGTGCGCCTGTGCGGGGAAGCCGGGCCACTGCTAAGTTTCTGAAACAAATGTCACGGAATGGTGTGCCAAGAGCGCCTATCGCAACGCAGATTTGGGTCGCTATAACAAATCTTGGCAACCCATATTCAGTGATGCATTACGTGACGTGGTGTGAGCCCCTTCCAACATCGTTGGAAAATATGAGTGGCCCGGAAGCAAAGTGCACTTGAATCTAGTTTGCCCAGACGCACTCAGCACAAGTGCCCAAGCATTCCATTGGCTCGTACGCTGCTGGGGAGGCTTCGGCCAGAATTCGTGGAAGTGTTGGCTTCGCGAAGCTTCACACCGAACTGTAACTTTGCAGTGTGGATTTTCAACGGGGTGCCCAGAAGCGCAGGGGGTCCCGCAGGGCAAGAGAAAAAAATCAGGCTCTCAGCATTGGTTTTTTCCAGGCGCAAGTCCAGCCGAAAGCGGCAGATCACAAGGGTGCGCTCCATGCGTCCATCGCACGCTGCGCTGGCACGCGCTTTGGCTTGCAGGTCTGTAAGCCACCTGATGTGACAGACTACTTGTCCAGCCAGGCCAGGGCCAACAAAAGCTACCGAAAGCTAACGCTCTGCAGGGATCGGCGCGATCTATGCGCAAAAACTGGAGCTTGTCTTGCGGAACCCTCTGCGGGATCGGATTAGTCGATGTGCAAAAACTGGAGTGTTTTGTGGATCGGCGTGGCCCATGCGGCAACTAGCATGGGCAACTGCGCGAGAAGGACCACGTCACAAAAGAAGAAGCTACTAGGGGGAGCAAAATACAAGCTGCTGGAAAGAAGGGGGCACCTCTTAAGCTTGTGTGGCAAACAAAGCAAAACCAAGAAGGAAGCCAAAGCCTTGAAGCGGCTTGCCCTCCCCTCACTCAGCTTCACTGCAGAAAAGGGCAGAAACGCTGGAAAGGCCAAGGTGCCAAAACATCACACTTGATGACAGCCAGGAGGTTGTGGATGATTGCTCAGGGTTTTTGGACCTACAACACCAACTGCTGGAACACAAACACCTGGTCCTACCCATCCTTGTGAACACGTCCTAAACATCTCCGACGCGCCTTACAAAAGGGGTAGGGTAGGCGCCACAGGACCGTTGATAAAATGGAGGTAAAATCCAAAAGGCGCTGCTACACTTAACCACATGTGTTTGAACCCTTGGCGCGCCCTCCCTTTTAGCTGTCAAGGCCGTTTCAAGCCCCACTGCCAAGCCAAAAAGCCACCAAGTAGCTAAGACGTGTTTAGTGCTTATGGAGTCTACGTGGTTGCCTTTTTTGTTCAAGGGCTTCTGGGCCCATGGCCCCGTTTTCTCAAGGGTTCTGACGAGCCCCCTCCCCACTTGTTGAGAAGCTTGGTCATTTAGGCCCAAAATGTTTAGTTGAGACTACGGGGTTTGAGGTTGTTCCACATTCTTCCTTTGGCTGTTGAGAAATCCCCAAAGGTTGGTGTAATGTGTAGTTTGGGTTGGGCCCACAGACAGCGTCAAACCTTTGAGTCTCAACCTATCCCTTTCTCAAGGGGTGCGTCTGGAGCTTTACAAGTTTGAAAGCGGTATTATTGACTAAACTACATTGTGCTCCCACCAAGATCGGGCGCTCACTGCCAGAAAGTATGCTTTTTTGCTGTCTAATGGTGTTCCAACTCAAGCTTGACTGGCGTTTCAAAAAAACTAGGCGACGGGTGGCCCGGAAGCAAAGAAACACGTTAAATCAACTCTGACGCCTCCCCCATCTTTTGAGAAACAAAGCGTAAACACGTCAAGCCTAGCTTCTGCAAGTTCTGATGAGCAAGCTTAGCATCATGCTTCGCAATCTCTCGAGTCAGTTTCTGTTGCGCGAAGCGGTGCGTGGGGCCGCGCGTGACGCTGCGCATGATGTTGCCAATGATGCTGCGCGTGACGCTGCGCCGAAGGCTTTGCGCGCAATGGGCTTGACATTGCTGCGGAACCAAGGCGCCCGCAGTCCTGAAAGCCAGGCGGGCAGCGCGAAGCGTTTGCAATAAAAGGCGTCAAAAGGGCGCAGCTGCTTAAGCGACTATTCAACGGCTAGCTTTGCTGGGCTTCCAATGTACGCTTCTCCCGGCGCAAAGGACCCCCGCAGCACCTCCACCCCGGTCGCCGCGGAAGGTGGCACTGGCGGGGCCGCCTTTGCCGTGGAGCCCGCCACGCCTGGCTCAACTGACCCGCCCTCACGGGTAAAGTGGGCAGATTGAAACAACACGAACGCACTCACCCCATAAATTACTCAGGCAACAATGCTCCAAGAACGCGATCAAGTAGAGGTTGCTCCTGTGTGCGCTATGAACTTTTATGAGGGTGTGTAACACGGGGCGGGCAAAGAATCTTGTCACGGAGGTCTGTAACGGAGGTCCTTGTTACGCAGGCCTGTAGCGGGAAAACGTTTCTTGACAATTTCAGCATCAGTAGCAAAATGTGGCGCAGAACAACGCAGAGCAGCAGCTCGCGCTCGAAAGCCGCAACTGTTCAGTACAAGCGCAACGCGCAAAGCACGCCTCCGCAGCTCCAAATGTAACGAGGCGCGCAACGACGAATAGCAAACGCAGTACGCGAAGCACGCTCCAGCTGGATTGCAGCTTTGCGACGCAAGCCAAGCTGCGGCAAAAAGGGGTGGGAGGGCGGGGTTGAGCCTGTAACGAGGTATGTCACGGCTACGTAACGAGGTCTGAAACGAGGCAAGGCAAAGCGCAATATGCAAAGCGCCTCCGCAGCTCCAGCTTGATTGCAGCTATTCAACACAAGCCAAGCTGCAGCAAAGAGGGGGTCGCTGGCCCGGGCTGGGGTTGGGTCTGTGTGGGAAGGCGTGTAACGGCCATGTAACGAGGTGTGTAAGGAGGTATAGCGGCCCTGTTCCAAATCTTCATCTGGATGGCAAGCTCTCTGCAAGTTGCCTCTTCAGCAAAAGCATCCTCGGAAAAAATCTGGTCAGCAGGCACTAGTGGACAACAACTGAGAGCCTGTGCGTGCAGCAGGGCATGTAACAAGGGGCGCCCAACCAGCCAAGCGGTTTGTTCGTCTGAGGTGTGTAACGAGGATGTGTAACGAGGGGTGTGTAACGAGCCAGCGGGTCCGAGGTTTGTAACGAGTCACTGCTAAGGGTACACACTAAACCATTACCACGCGGAACGCAGGGCGAAGTAAGCAAGAACGTGCGAAAGCCAATATGTGTGAAACATGCTCTGCTTTTGTCCTCGCTCTTTGCTGCTACATAGTATGTGTACTATCATTTTAGCTCGACACTCAACCCTGGCGTTTGGGTAGATTGGTTTTACTAGACGCCAGGCTTCATTGCGATGGCCTGGTCGCAAAATTGCTGCAGACCAAGTAGCTGCAAGCACACATCCTTCCTGATGGTTGCCAGAACAGCTTAACTACACTTTAGCAAGGCTGCTTCACATACTGCCTCTCCTTCTGTGATTCGGTATACCTGTTACTTGTTTGTGCCATCGGAATACCAAACAGAACTCACCGGGATTCTGGCTCCACCTCAATTGAGTTCGATATCACTGATTAGAAGGCAAACACCATGCAAATTGTGTGTGTGCCCAAGCAACCCTCTCTGTTTTGCCGCAGTACCATGGCAAAACATCCTCTGAGAGCGTGCGGCCCAGCTCGTTGGGGCCCACTATTGGGGGGCTCTCCAGGCCCGCCGTGCCCAACTGAGTTTCGCTTGTAGCTAAAAGAAACACCCAAAGCAGACGCCCCTTGTCGTCAGTGGCAATCACCTGCCGCAAGGATTGCTGGTCACGCCAAGCCACTGCGGCCACCAGACTTCCGGCGCTTGCCACGCCCGCGGCCTGGCGAACCACGAGTTGCAAAAGGAGGGGCTTGAAAACAGCGGTGCGCTGGGCAACCCAACATGACACAGGACTGGGATGGAGAAAACAGGAGACATGAGTTGCACAGATGCTGATCCTCGTTGGCACTGAGTGCTGCGCTGGTGTTTGTGTGTCAGCCTTGCAAAGCACCCGAAGT